ACTGAGAAAGTCCAAATTTGATGAAATTCACTCTAAATTCTAAGCCATTATCAGTGTCTGAACAAGTCATTTCCACTTTACCTCCAAGACATTAGAAAAACTAAAAGAAAAAGTGATCTTTGTTAACTGTAAAATTACTAAATTAAAATTGTAGGATTTACAAATAGTATTTGAAGACAAATAAAAGTGCTTAAATTGTGAGTGTTCACAGTGCTATAAACATTAGAAGATAGACATGCCAAATAATTCATAAAAGCTTTTCAGGTTCATTTCACATAGGGACCAATTATACCCTTTAAAGGTCTCCTGTAATGTTTTAGCTTCAAGCAATATGTTCATTCTTTCCACAGAAGAACCTTTGCCTTTTACAGCATGCACTACTTTTTGCAACTAGTGCTGATCTTTAGAGAAGTTGCAAGAAGATATAGAGTGTGAAATCTAATTAGTTCTTTTAAATATTGATAATGGGAACTTCATATTTTCTCAAAAAGCACACTATGTTACCAACATCTGAAAAACTGAAGAGCCCTTTGTAATTAAAATAAGTTTTTCACGTGTTAGAACTTTGATTTGCTAAAAAGTTGCAAACCAGGGAAAAATACCCAACAAAGACATAGTAAACATTAGTTTACTTTAAAATAATGCAGCTATATATCTTAGAACATAAATCAGTTTCTTAGACATACGTGTGTTCTTCTCAACCTACAATGATTGACAATCATATTTCAAAACACTCTACAATATATCAAGTTCAAGCACATCATAGGTCACCTTGTAACTTACATATTCTTCACATGTTAAAAGTGTAGACAAAGAGGTAGAAAAATACAAAAACTTAACTACTGTATTAACAGAGAAAATATTTCCAGAAAGATCCATAGGGCATAATTTTGATACAGTGTAACATGTAGACAAAACAAAATTCAGAAGACAGGGATTAACAGAATAACAAATCATATATAATGTATATATATGAAAGATTTAACCTTAAATTATAATATGCCTAATGCATAATATGCATAAAACGTAAGTCTAACAATAAAAATAGCAATCAATTTCATGCTTGCAGTACTAACTTCTCAAGGACCACATAAAAATACGTAACGTATCTCTCGGCTGCTAAATTATAGCCAATTTCTATCTAATTCATCTATTAACAAAATATTTACCAATTTCCTACTAGTCTTTTTAGAAAATACCAAAGTGTTTATTTGATATCTAAATTTCCTCTCCTAATTGATATTTTATAAACTATTTAAAGAACACTTCCACCAAGGCCAAGCTATAAACATCAGAACTCACTGAAGGACTTGTGAGTCAACTTGTTTGGTTTTTTATTTATTTATTTGGGGGAGGGAGGGTCTTGGTTTTGTTTTGTTGTTCTAAGCACTGATTTTTATGCTTTTACATACATGAATGATATAATAAACCGAATTCTAAAGATATATTCTTTTATTTAATCTTCAACCTCCAAAATATATTAATCTTTATATCTGCACATACAGGTTACAGTTTTTAGTAAAAAACATAACAGATTATTTTTATATTTAAATATCTTCTTACTAAAAAAAAATATCTAAAAAGTATTTAAATTGTTTAAAGAACATAAATCCTAGAGGAATATTAAATTATACAACATATATTGATAATCTAGCATATCTTCAAAACAAATATAATAGCAATTAACTGCCTGTTAAAAGAATTCCAATGTTATTCACCCTTCCCCTACAATCTACACTGGTAAACCAAGGCAAAAAATATATATACCAGCAGCTATTCAGAAATCACGTTTGGGAATATTTTACAGAGAATTCCAGTTTATGTCTCTCTGAATGTGGAACAAGCTCCAACCTAAGACACTGAAGAAATAATACTGTTTAAAAAGCATAATCCCAGCAAGTCTAACAAAAGAATGTATAATTTTGCTATTCCTTTTGAAAAGGGAAATATTTCAAATTTCTGACTGGTTTGGAGTTCACAAGTTTTTATATGACTCTTACTTGCTACAATTATAAAAACATAGCTCTGATAAAATTTCTGAACATGGTAGTCTAAAAACTAAAAAATTATCTAGCTGCAAGCTATTAACATAGCTCTTATTATCTCTCTTTAATCCAAAACAATTTATAAGAAATAAGAGAAAATTTTAAACACTTGAAAACTATATTAACAGAGATCAGAAGACAAATGTCAACACGACATAAATGTAATTGTTTCTTCAAAAAACTGAACCAACATCTTGGGGCAGGGGTGGTAGGAACCTTAGAGATAGGTGAGGTACATAGCTCAAAACTGGCATTTCAAGAATATAGTTTTACAAGGAATTCCTATCATTTGGAAAACATGAACTGACCTTGAAGCATTATGTTCACTGAAATAAGTCAGACAGAGAAAGACAAATACTGTAATCTAAAAAACAAAAACACCTCAAAAAAAGAGATCAGACTTGTGGTTACCAGAGGTGGAGAAGGATTGGGGGAGGGGGAACTGGAAGAAGGTGGTCAAAAGGTACATTACACAATAAATAAGTACTAGGGATGTAATGTATAACATGATGGCTATAGTTAACACTGTTGTATGATATACAGGAAAGTTGTTAATAGAGTAAATCCCAAGAGTTCTCATCACAAGGAGAAAAAATTTTCCTTGTTTTCTTGTTATTGTAATGTATCTATATGAGAAGATGGATGTTACCTAAACCTGTTGTGGTAATCACTTCACAATACATACAAATCAAACCAGCATGCTATATGCTTTAAACCTATTCAGTGCTGCATGTCAATTATTTCTCAGTGAAATTGGAAAAAAGATTACTATAGTTTTACATGTTAGCTTTATATTACATGTAAGCCATTTGAAAGTTACAAACCTTAGACAAAGCCTTTATTTGTGGTCTGTTTTTCAAATGTATATTCATAATGAAATATAAGCGTTACAGTGCACCTTATGTCCAAACAATTATTTAAAAGGCTTATCATACTCAGTCTAAGTTCCATATACAGGGAATGGTCATTTACATACTTTATGTCTCAAAATTCTTGTCACTGTCACATAGAAAAACCTCAATACGATAAATTCAAACTATAAACATAAGCTTACTGAATGTTACAAATTGTACCCAATAGCTATATCTCTTTAAATACAAAGTAACAGTTACAAGGGCTATGGCAAGGAAAAGTTAAGTCTAGAGATTAGTACAGTAATAAACTGAGGTATTTAAAATCAAGACAATTTTTCAGTGATGATGTTACATTTAGATACAAAAATACTTGGTTACACAAGTGTGCCCTAGGATCCTGAAAAACATAACAATGAGTTTAGAGACAATAATCCCTCTGAGAAGATATCAGAAGCTGCTGACAGTTAAGAAATGTACAGAATTGTAGAAGTATAAGCTTATAGACTGCTGGTAGTTATGATGGAGGCAAATACTATACAGTCCACATCTGCAACCCACTTTTGTTTCAGCATCCCCAGAGACTTAGAAAACATTTCTTTGGGTAGGTTGCAAAACATTGCTTCCTCTTTTATTTTCATCACCCCCATTATGATACAAAGTAACAGATAGACAAGAAAATCAAATCAGCAACTAAGGGCTGAAAGCTTAAACACACACACAAAACCATCCTTTCAGCTCCCGAATCGGTCTTCATTCCACCTGTTTGTAAATCCACACTAACACAATAACAAAAACCTGCTGCCGGGAGGGGGGGGGGGGCAATTAATGGTTTGGAGTTCTTCTTCTTCTACATAGACGGGGGAGGAGGATGGTACAAAACAATGGATACTGAGGGGCGGGGGGGGGGGGGATCGTTTTGTCCTGAAATCTCTAGCATTGGCGGGGGCAGGAGTGCGGGGGGGGGGGCGGGGGAGTACTTTTCCTCTATCCCTGAAAGCTACCGCGAAAGAGGTTGCCATCAGGCATGCCTAACAGAGCAGTCTTGAATGCCTACAACTCGCTTCACCAGCCAACACACCCCACACCTACTCACCACTCTTGACCGAAGGGAGAGGAGACCAGGAGAGGTGGTGGGCTTTGGGGAGGGGGCGAGGAAAGACCCCGCCCCGCACCACTACCGCTGCGCCAGGGACCCCGCCAACCATTTACACGCCCTCCGGACGCCCACGGGTCTCCCTGCAGCCTGGACCCGGTGGCTCCGGGAGCCGAGTGCAACAGCACCGTCCTCCAGACGCCCCCGGCCCGCGCCCTCGCCCTCGCCCGCGCCCTCGCCCTCGCCCTCGCCCAGGCGCTGTCCCGGCCGCCCGCCGCCACCGCAGGCCTGGCCCCGGTCGCTGTCAGAGCCGGCCGGCTTGCTCTTGGCGCCCGGCTGCGGAACCTACACGGAGAGCTGGGTCCAAGGGCCCAGCCCTCCGGGCGACAGCACCCAGGAAAGCCGGGGCGGCGGCGCCTCCCAGGGCCCCGGCCCCTGGGGCCTCACCCCGGCCCCGCCGGCTCGCGCCTGTCAGGGAGCGCGGGGCCTCCCCCTACCGACAGCCAGCCGACCGCCCGACGGGCAGGAAGGAAAGCAGGAAGAACCGGCCCACCGACACCCTCCCGCCTCGGCGGCCCCAGGTTACCGTCAGGAACCCCGACACCGCCATCCTCCTCGCTCGTTCTCCTTCCTCCTCCTCCTTAGAAGCGACGCTGCCCAACCGCCGCCCCCCACCCGCCCCTCCCCCACTCGCCCCGCCCCGCCCCTCCCCCACTCGCCCCGCCCCACCCCTCCCGCCCCTCCACACTTTCGCTCCTACCATTCCGCCCCACCCCTCCGGCGCAAGCAGATCACTTGCTGGGGAAGACTATCAGGCGGAGCAAGGGAACCGACGCTGCCCAATCAGAATAAGGCACTAGCGCCAGCGACGCTACCCAACCAGAGTGAGGCATTGGCTTCAGCTTGCCTCTCCCCGCCCTTTTCCTTTCCTCCGCTCGTCTACGCCCTCTCCCGCCCACTGGGCGCCGCTGGCTAGCCGGGTCACAGAGTAAGCCTCCAGCAGGGTAGAGTGACGACACTCAACCGGAAGTTACCGTTGAAGCTAAAACAGCCATAACTGATCATGGCAGCGGGAGTTTTCTGGCCTCCCGTCTCCAGTGTGACGTAGTTTTCCCTTCGCCCAATCTCTTCGTTGCCCTGGCAACAGTTGAGCCGTCTGGGAAGAAAAGCATCTGTAAGTAGACCCAAAATGGGACCAAAGGTGACCAGACATCCCATGTTAGACAAATTAATTCACATTCCGTACTACCTGCCTGGGATGGAGGAGAGGAGAGAGCAGGTTTCCAGGACCTTAGTTTGCCGGGACGTCTGGTCACTTACCTATGTGGACAAGAGTTTAGGGCTCCGATAATCCCTGTCCTGCCCGGAAGTTGCGTTTGGCACTTCTGAATGGGGTCATGGCGGAAGGGTGGGAACAGCGTGCGACCCCCGCGCCCCAGGGAGTGTCCATTCCGACTAGAGTCACGAAGTGATGTGAGTGTCCCTCGGCCTCCACAGTGGTGCAGGCCAGGGCCGGACGGTACCTGGGAGACTGAGCGCCGCGGAGCTCAGGGTTGCTTCCGCTGGAAGAAGCTTTTCTTTCCGGGCAGGCCGGGCGCCGGCCCGCCCTCCCTCCGCCCTCCCTCCGCCCCTGTGAGGCTCCCTGTGGGGCGAGGCCGCTCTACCGGCCTCCCTGGCCCAGCTGCGGCCAGCCAGGACCGGAGGGGCCTGGGCGCGGCCTCCGGGCGGAGCCCCTATCTCCCGCACGGAGCTCCGGATTACGCCCCCTCAAGTTCCTATTAAGTACTTTCACCCCCTGACCTTTGGAGGACGAAGAATTAGGGAGCTTGAGGAAATCATTTTCCATTCCCAGCTATAAAGGAAAAGGGTGGTCCCCCACCACTGCAGCACCACCTCTAAGTCTTATTTCCCCGCCTCCTTCACATTGTGAATTTTCTCCCTTTCCTTTGTTTCTCCTCTCTTAAGGGTCTGTAAGCACTGATTGCAGTTCTGGATGAAGGTATATTGTCCAAATTCTGCATGTTTACGGTTTCTTAAAGAATTTCATGCTTGTGAATACATATAAAAATACAGTATGCGTTTATATGGCTCTTTACAAGAGTTGTCACACACTGTCTCGTTTAGTCCCTTCTCTAGGCTTGAATCAAAAATTGTCAGTCATTTTGGCGATACCGGGTTGGATGCCCAAAGCTGCCTAAAGCTGTGGAGGAAAAGACCAGGAGAACTTTCAGGTAAATTGAAAATTGTTGATACTCAGCCAGTCAACAACAAGAGTACAAACCTACCTTCTTAATTTCTACTTCCTTAGTACTCATATTCCAGCCAAAATGAACTACTCTTGTTTCTTCTAAGGTTAATCACTGAAGCACCTAACTTTTGTGATTTTGTGTCATGGTTTTCCTTGGAGATATGTTTCCAGATTCTTCCCATTAGGAAGTAGTTTTCTCTGAGCTTACCTAGCACTTTTTGTGCCTCTTATATGATAAAACCTCTATTTTATATATAAGAGCTGCTTATGTTCTTAGCTTCATTACTGTGTTTATGCCTAAATAGAATGGTTTATATCAGGTTCATCTGCCTATCATTTTATACTGCACATGATATTTTGTTAAATGCTTACTGAAAGATTGAATTTTGAGATGTCTCCTGGATGCCCAGGACATTGCCAGCAAAGTTTTATGGAACTTCAGTTTATCAGAAATTCAGCATAGTCCCTACAACTCAACCTTTTCTTAGGCTTCCCCTCTGGAGACTTTCCCACATGATCTATTCCCCAATTTTTTATTAAGAGAAATATTCAAACAATTAAAAAATTGAAAGAATATTTCAATTTTTATTGAAATATTCATATACCCTTCACCTAGATCCAACAGTTGTTAACATTTTGCCATATTTACTTCATCCCTTCCCACTTTGTCATTGAACCACTTGGAAATAGGTTGCAGATACCTATTGTTAAGTAGACACCCCTAAAATTTCCAACATGTATTTCCCAAGAATTATAAAGTTATCCTGTGAAACAGTATCATTATCACAACTAAGGATATTAATAATTCTGAAATATTTAAAATCCACTATGTAAATTTTCCTATTTGACCGAAGAACATCTTTATACCTTCTCTTCCACTCCACCTGGCAAAAAAAAAAAAAAAAAAAAAAAATCAGGATCCAGTCAAAGTTTCTATATTGTATATGGATATTGTAACTCTTTAACTTTAATGTAGAATAGTTCCCCAATTCTTCCCCCACCCCTTGTTACACTGGCATTTTGAAGAGTTCATGCCAGTGTCTTTGTCTCCTTTTTCTTAGTTCTTGTAAATCAAAAGTTGGTCTAGAGACTTGACTAGATTCTATTTAAAATTGTTTTTGCAAGCATACTTCACAGTATTCATACTTTTCCAATCATGGTTAAGCCTTTTCAAATGCAGCTACATCTACCCATGTTATAATTTGAATCTCAGCACGCACATCTTTCTGTATGGTGTCTTACAGTTTAGCATTTAAGCCTCCTGTCTGTGTAAAGTATGCATTAGTGCTCTGAACTGGCAACAAAGACTGCCTACCTTTAGTAAAGTGTTGTTGTTACTTTGCCTACACTTGGAGCTGATGCAATGTCATCTGCAGCAAAGTGTACTGATGTCAGCATAGTTTCATGAGTTTCAACTCATGGCACTCCAAGGACTGTTGATGAAAGGTGTGTGGGCCCTGCAATTCATATACAGATGAATCTTGATGTTATCAAAGCAGATACCTAGGCAACTGCTGGCCATCTGGCCACATTCCAATTTAGGCTATGTTATTTTTCCCCCTGAAATTCTCTTGCATGTCCTAATTGGTCTTAGTGTTCTTGTGATAGCTTTTTGGTAATATTCCTTAAAGCCTATTAAAAACTGCTAAATCGAGATTATACTTAATGCTTTGTATGTTAGGAAAATTCTTTGCCCAATGGAGAGAGAAGTACATGCAGAATTTGCTTCATAATCATGAGAAAAACTCCCAAAACTGCCAAGCTCAGTACTCCTCATGTCCTAAACTTATTTTTGATCATGAAAGATAAGTGAAAGGAAGAAAATGCACTTAAGGGAGCAGAAGGAAATGCTCTGAGAAGGCAGAAATTGAAAGTTAAGTAATGTACTCAATAAGTCACTTGTTTTGTGTAGAAGGAAATTTGCTCATGTGGGACTATAAAACAGTTTTAAGCTGACTCCAAATTCAAGTAAGGCAAAATAATATACCAATTAAGACCACAGATTTTAGAATCAGACCTGGGTTTCAGGAACAGGGCCATTCACTAGCTGATGACTTTGGACAGTTTAATCATTTTATTTATCATCTATTAAATGGAGCCATAAAACCCCCAGGATTGTTGAACAGAATGACTCAACTATATGTAAAGTGCTTTACTTAGTGTATAGCACATGGTATATAGTCAGTGTGTGGCAGTTATTAATAACTTCTAAAGCAGTCCAATTTGGGCACATGGGCATGAAATATTTATAGAGTAAGAATGAATCTAAGACAGTGGTTCTCCAAGTTTAATGTGGGGAATGTAATAAAATAATCAGAGATTCTGATTCAGAGAATCTTGGGAAGCCTCCAGAAAAATCTATATTTAACAGTTGTCCAGGTGATTTTGATGCAGGTGATCTGAGGATCAGGCTTTGAGAAACACTGATAATTAAACAATTATTTCCCATTTCTTGCATACTGTTGAAATAGCTGTATATCTAAGATGCAGAGAATGTAAAACATTCTTCAAATACCTTTTTAAAAGATTAATAGCTAACATTTTAAGGGCCATTTTCCAGTATTGAATTTTTTTAAATAGCACAAATTATTAGAAAAAGACATTTTGCATGAATAGGATGTTGTGTCATTTTCTACTAACTTAATAGTAGTGTCTGCTACTGGAATATACCAAAACCAGTTCTGTCATCCAGGTTCACCCAAGATGAACAGTTCCTGTTCTTAGGCCTAGGCACATTCCAGAAACTAGACACCACACATTTTATTCACATGAGTCTGGAATAATTAGCCAAATTGAAACACGTTGCAACATTTTTCTACCATCAGATGCCAGGTAGCAAAACAGAATAGAATCTACTATGGTTTCCAACTACATGACATATGACGTTATTTGGCATCTCCAGATGAGCATTATCAATCCAAATTAGGCACTCTGCTAGCATGTGGGCAGCCACTTGAGTGAGAGTGAGCATTACTTCATTGTGTCTGCTAAAAAACACTTTCTTTTGGGGCTCTCTCTTACCTTTTTTCATGCTAGTTTACATTCAGAAATCTGCATTTTAAAATGCATCTACTAGTCAATCACAAGTCTTGGGTAAGACAAGAAAGAGAAAAGTTTTGCTCTTTTTCCTAACATTTCTGCTACCCGACCAGCCTGCACTAGCCAGGAACTGGCTTATTAAATACTCACAAAAGAAAAATGTCCTGTCCTTTACATAAACCGGATTGCTTCTGGTGTCTCCGTCAGTTCCCAGATTCTATTTTTGTTTCTTAATACCTATTAATTATAAAATAGGATGGTTTGGCATATAATGTGTTGCAGTGGCTTGGTGTTTTACTGAAGTTGCAAAGTTAAGTGCCTGTAGTGGCTGGGCAGGTAAGGTAAAAAACAATATGCTGTAGTGGAAACTGGAGAACTCCTCATGCTCATCTAAATGGGGCATCACTTCCCAGACCTACCCATTTTTTGCCATGTGGGAATATGGGCCTGGTGTTGCCACATTTATCAAGAGGAGTTGAAATTTTTACTTTATGTGAAGTCTCCTGATTTTTAAACATTAGTTCAAATAATTTTTAAACATTTTGCAAGCCAGCAAAGCATTTAACAAGATAGAACCAAGGGCTACCAGTTTATGACCCCTGTGTCTCTTACATGAAAACATGACTGATGCTTTGGTTGAAAATCTCAGAATGCTTTAGCATGTACTTCTCTAGTTAAGCAATAAGTGACTTATCTATCACCTCCATCAGAAATTCAAGATAGATTCTTATGTACACCAAGCTTCTATTCCCTTGATTCCAGTTTTGAAGGTTTTTACTATTGCTGCCAACTTAAAAGCGTTCATATTTTTTTCAGCCTTGCACTATATTATGAAATAAGTTTGCTTTACTATATTTTTAAAAATATATTTAAGAACATAATTTGGCAACACAAGCTCTTAAAAAGTAAACAAGTAAAACAGATTTTAAAAGGAAAACACTGTCATGCTTTCTTATAGGTACCATGGTGTTGATGAGGATTCAAAGAATGTTTAGAGTTGGAAAGTACTTAACTGGAAATCTAGAACAAATCCTTTATTATAGCAAAATTAGACCTAGGACAATAAATGTCAAACTGTATTTCTAAGCACTTTTCACTTGAACTTTGAAACCCAGGACAGATAAATACTAAACATGTTTTTTTATGAGAAAATCAACCCCCAATTGGTTAAGAAATATATTCAAGGTCACACAGTAATAGAGCCAGAATACAGCTCTGTATGCCACTTCAAGTATAAATATGATTAGAAAAAAAAAAAAGAAACCTAGGAAACAAACTCCAGTACAAGCTTTTTAAAAATCATACATTGGATTTTACTGTCACAGTTTATTTAAAATACTTGGAATCCTAGAATACTCTGAAGCAATTAAGTTTAAACTTTAAAAATGGGATTTTGTACAATTAGGATAAGCTGATAAGTTTTATATAAATTAATGGATGGAGAAAAAGAATTATGATGAAGAGCTAATGACTGGTTAGGGGCAGTAGGCACATATAGAGGATAACTACATTGATCCACAGAATGCCTTCTTGGGGCACCGAGCAAAGGTTAAAAATGAATTCGAGGAGACCAGTGTGACCTAGGAGGACAATTATAAAAATATCCAAATACTGTCCTGAGCATTTTTAGAAACTAAGTCTGGGCTTAATTTTTATATTTCTAATCTATAGTATATGATGCTTTGAATTACCAGGAATTGAATTTGGATTTTGGTAATCTGTTCCCCTTCTCTGCCCTATATGACTATAGCCTATATTTACCAGGTGCCTAGATGAAACTAGGGTACAATATAAAGCTAATAATCTTGTCTAGCTCTTTAACCCATGATTTTGGTCTCATCATATTCTCATATATCTGTGAAAAAAATAGAAAACTTATAAGTGTTACATGTTTCTAATTAAGGTTGAGACTTGAAAATTCCAGTGTCATCTTTTAAATATACT